GGAACATCTCAAGTAGGCCAGTTAATGTTTTATCAATAATTTGTACTTTGCAGTGTCAGAGCTTTTGGGAAGGTCAGGCTTCACATATACACCTCTAAAATATGGTATAGTATTTCATAGAAACCAATTTAAAGAAACTACAACTCTGGGTTTGAGACAACACCCAGTATCAACAAACGGTGTGTCTGAATAATATTAAATATGTTTAAGTTTACGGAATTGTTGTCAACAGCACAAATTGCATTAAAAAGATAGTTACGTTGTTTTTGTTTTTCATCCATTTCACTCATATAATGTATCTAGTCTAGTCTAGAGTATTAAGATATGGAGTATGAGATGAAAACTTAGTATACATATCCATCCAAACACACCCTGCAACACCTATCACACATGCTGCCATATGGAACAGTGGAAGGGGAATGCAGACAACTTCATTTTTAGTTGCACCAGCTAAATAGAAAATATTTTACTGTGAGTTATAATTGCTGCCTTTAGTAAACCTGCAAATAAGCACATTGTCTGGAATATTATTGCTGTTACTGTATGTGCGCCTTGTACATTTTATATTTAATTGACTAGATGACTGGTACAAGACTGTATAGATAATGAAAGAGATTAACTAATCCAAAGTTTAAGATTTAGTATTTATTTTGTTTTCTACATTTCATTTGAACTAAGAGAATAACACATAGAAAAGATCCATGATTACATAGGTTCAAATATGAGTAAGATTTAAAGCTTGGTGTTTCAGAAACCAAATTGCAGAAATCAGTGGCGCATTTTCCTTCATTAATTACTTACTGTGTGAATAATATGATAAATGATCCATATTTTAAGAATAGTCTTTGTACTTGATTTTATTTTCAAATACAATACATCTGCCATATGTGTTTTTTTTTACTGAAATCGAGTACATTCCCAAACCTACCTGTAGTTCCTGATGTGAATAGGCGCAAGGCTGGTTTCAACAGACTTGAGGCTTTAAAGAGGTGAGTTGGAAGAGAGCCATCTGAAGCACTTTCTATTTTATCAGGCAAAGAATTAACATTTGGAAGATTACTTGGCTTCTCCCAAGTCCACACACCAAT